CCTAACCAAGTTTTAAAATCTCACATCCAGCAAAAAACTACTAAACAAGAACTGATTGTGTAAGAATAATAATCTTGTTTTCAGAATGTGTAAGATTATTTGTCTTGTTAGCCTGAAAATTTAACTCAATTTAAGTAAAAAAAAATTCTGCCAATGGAGTAAGAAAAGTTTACTTGGTAAAATTCTTGAAATAAGAAAAAATTGAGTCAAGTCAAGTATTTCAAGAATCTTTCCAAGTAAATTTTTTTTACTCCATTGGCAGAAATTTTTGACTTAATTTGTGTCAAACTTTCAAACTAACAAGACAAATAATCTTACACATTCTGATAACAAGATTATTATTCTTACACAATCAGTTCTTGTTTAATAAATCAGTCTCAAAACAAGATCAAAAAGACTTTTTGGATGGATATAAGATTTTAAAACTTGGTAAGACAGACAGTTTTTGCTGTGAAGTTCTTGACAAAGCCTCAAAATCAAAATATTATTTTATTTTGTCAGAATTTCTTAAAATGCTCCTGTTATCCCACACTAACTACACTAACTAACTCCATTGTTCCTTAGGGGAAAAACTGACTATTGAAATTCAATCCATATTTTGATCACATATTTATACAGTGTCTATCAACCCTGGTCCTCAAGGCACACTGCCCTGCAGGTTTTAGAAGTTCCCATGCTTAAACACCTGATTCAGATGATTGCAGTTCAACAAAAGCCTGTTAATCAGTTCTCAACTGAAATCATGTGTGTTGAAGCAGTGAAACGTCTAAAACATGCAGGGCAGTGTGCCTTGAGGACCAGGGGTGATAAACACTGCATTTATCAAATCAGAAACCTGTGCATTCCTTTCAGTAATACTTTTTAAAATTTTACTTCTATTCCTATTGTTTTGATTTTTATATTAGCACACTCAATGCTTTGCTTTTATATTTGAAAATTGTTGTAAATTGTCTAGTGGGAAGTAGAAGCACTCAGAGAGTGCACAGCTCTGCCAAGACCTTTGATTTTGCAAATGAGAGTGTGCAGCTGCTGAGTTGTGATTGGTGGAACAAAGTTGTGCTGGATGCTGATGGCTGTTACAGTATGACATCATCAATACTGGTTCTGCTCTGTTTTAAGTTTAGGTTTCTGTTTTGCCTCGGCCAGCATTGCTGTAGTTCACCACCAAAATCAAATAAATTAATTCTTTGTGACAACTTAGGCTGCACAATATTGGAAAAAACTGAGATTGACATTTTTAACTGTTTGATACATGTAGTGTATTGCAATTTAAAAATATATTGGTCCGGGTAGACTGCTCAACACAGCTGTAAAATGAGACAGTTATGTCTTCGCATGATGTATATTGTGTGATCACACGCTACCTATTACCATAGTGATTATAGCGAGTTGTTAGGAGAGAAACAGAAAGGGTGATTAACTATTTCTGTCCTACACTACACTTACCAAGTTGGGGGCACCAGGTCACTTTACTGACCAACATTTATTCACCCCTTTTTAATCAGACTCATATTTATTGAAATGTGGGATTTGCATGATATGCAGAGGATTCTTATCTCAGACCAACAAGCTTTGTCTTTTATGGTAATATATTACAAAAAATATAGCAAGAATCAGTTTCATTGAATCATGACTAAAATAGTAAAAATAACAACAAAGACGAGCTATAAAGGTTTCTGAAACAGTTAAAGATGAAAAGGATTATAGACTTGATGTTATATGTATGAGGTAAGATAAGTTCTGGATGTTGTGGGGTTGTGTTGGTTGATATTGCCTGGACATTGAGGGCAGTTCCCTAATTCAGCAGACCGGGGTGGTGGTCGCCCTATTTAAAAAGGGGGACCACACAGTGTGTTCCAACTAAAGAGGGGATCACACTTCTGGTAAGGTCTATTCAGGGGTCCTGGAGAGGAGGGTCCATCGGATAGTCAAATCTTGGATTCAGGAAGAGCAGTGTGGTTCCTGTTTGTGGAACAGCGGACCAGCTCTACACCCTCAGCAGGGTCCTGGAGGGTGCATGGGAGTTCACCCAACCAGTCTACATGTGTTTTGTGGACTTGGAGAAGACGTTCGACCGTGTCCCTAGGGGACTCCTGTGGGGGGTACTCCGGGAGTATGGGGTACCAGGCCTGTTGATAGGGGCCATTAGGTCCCTGTACGACTGGTGCAAGAGCTTGGCCCGGACTCGTTTCCAGTGAGAGTTGGACTCTGCCAAAGTTGCCCTTTGTCACAGATTCTGTTCATAACTTTTATGGACAGAATTTCTAGGAGCAGCCAAGGTGTTGAGTGGATCCATTTTGGTGACGTTAGGATCACATCTCTGCTTTTTGCGGATGATGTGGTCCTATTGGCTTCATCAGATCAGGATCTCCAGTTCTCACTGGAGCGGTTCACAGCTGAGTGTGAAGCGGCCGGGATGAGGAGGAGTTTAAGTATCTTGGAGTCTTGTTCATGAATGAGGGAAGAATGGAGCGGGAGATTGACAGGCGGATTGGTGCTGCCTCTGCAGTGATGTGGGCGCTGTACCA